ATGTGTTCCTGAAGCTTGTCTGGAAAATTTGGCAGTAATTTAAATATATGGATCCTCCTTGTAGCTACAAAGGCTATTACTTAATTAAAGAAAAATGGGCAGTCAATCGTATGGCTGTTAGACAGAATCTAGGTAGCCAGAGGATTTTTTGTAGACTGAGCCATGAGGTTGGGAAACGTGGTCATTGTACCAGGGTCTCTGGTTGCATCTCTGAAGTTGGAAGAGCAACCTTGGAAGAGCTGAGTGGGCATTCTGGGGTGCTGTTGGGGGAAAGAGACAGGTGTTGCTACAGTAGGATTATCCTGGAAGTGCTTTGGCCTCCTTCTCTTATGTTTTGATGTGTGACACTTAGCTTAGCTTATAATTGGGACACTTATCAGCATCCAGACTGGATTTCTCCCTTATTCAATTAATCAATTAAGTAATTCCTCATAGATTTACATAAGAACAAAATGGTATTTTTTCCCCTTCAAAAAAGGTACCTTATGAGATTATGTATTCATGGTTTGCAGGTCAGAACTGAGACATTAATTTGATGGGAAGATGCGAAGAATACAAACTGGGCACATGATCCCTCACAATTCCTTTTGCCACATGAGAGGGATTATGTCAATCCTGCTGTGTCATCAGGGTGGACCTGCTTTTAGTGATAAACATACTTCACAGAATTTAAATGCTAGCCCATAGTCCTAGCCAGGGTGAATGCTCCAAACTAGGGCTGAACTGTGTTTTTTCCCCAAATGATACACTTTTCTGAGAAACTTTATGAATTTATTTTCTTATCATAATACAAAAAGAAGGCCACTTCACAGAATTTGCCACCGTTTTTTGGTGACAACAGTCTATACCCTGCTCCCCCAAGTGATGCATACTCAGTGTTGGAAAGATGCTGGGTCCAAGCCATTAAGGATAGAAAAGCAAGAATCCCCTTAGGAAAAAATAAAGACTCCACTCAGTGGCCACACCTAATTCTGAGCCCCAAATGTGAGAAACTGTTGGAGAATTTCTCCTTCCCCTAAATAAATTATGTGAATTTGTTCTCCCAATTTCTCTGTCTGAAAACAGAATGGAGACTTTTGAGAGTTTGAGTACAGCAGATGTAAGTTTTCAGTGAATAAAAATGTAAACAGCACAAAAAGAAAAAATAGAAATTACAACTTGACCCCCAACACACATACACAGTGGGGGGAGAGGGAGAGCGAGCGAGCGAGATAAAATATTCAAGCAGTGGCTTGTAGCTTTTCCATCTGAGCTCATATACATTTGTGAAGCCATACATAAATGTAGAAGAAGGATGGAATGTGCTGGATGGAAGAATAGCTGTGTGAAAGTCATCACTTTTGAACAGTCAAAGCAATATTCATAGACAACTGTAATTAAAGTCAAAGAATACTATGCATGACTTTAAAGTACTGTCTGTTGCCTCCAGATGATTATTAGATTATAAAACATCTGAATGGGGGAAAGGGTAATGAGAATAACTGTGAGTCAATTGCACCACTGTAAGTGAAATAAGATTAAAGCATTAGTCTTCCATGCATTTGATTAACAAGAGAATTAAATGCAGAGCAAGTCAAAATAAGAACATGGGGGTTGGTTTCTTCATTGCTTTGCTGGTGTCATAGTAGGGCTAAGTCTGTTCTAAATATGCAAGTGGAAATTTCATTAGTATGCCTAAGGGGTGGGGAAGAAAACTGCTCTCGATCACAACTTCTTTTAAAGGAGTTGAAGGGGCATGGGAGAAAGATTGCTGCTTGCCATATGCACAGAGATTCCATCGTCAGCTCTGTCAAATGGGTTTTGGAGGTTTTTGTATATGAAGCAGAGTATAATAGGCGTCATGAGCTCAGCCTCCCCTTCTTGTCCTTCAGCTTCAGAACACCAGACGGTCTCTTTGCAAAGCAGAGAGCACTTCATAGCTGCAAGACAAAGCAACTCTAAAAGCCAGGTAGTGATTTGGGAAGCATAGCCTCTGCTTATGGTGAGAAAGTGTTGGGCCCAAACTAGGCACTTCTCCCCGCAATCCTTCCCTTTCAGTAATGCGGTGGGCTGCACCCTCAGGGTGGCTCCCACTGGTGAAGGGCCAGCCAGCAAGACCTATGCAGACCCTCTAACTGGGCAGCTCATCTCTCCCAATGCCTCATCATGGGGCTAGGGACCAGTCAAAGCAATGGGTCTCCCTTCTCTCATTCTCCAATCCCTTCCATCCCTTCCAAAACATTTCTGGTCTCCTGCCTGACCTGGTAACCTGTGGGCAGCAAACTTGAAGGCCCTTCAAAGGCCTGTGCTTTTTCCTGGGTTCCCAGAATTCCCTTCTCCATTTCTTCAAGGTTTCCTTCTTCTTCAGACATCCCGTCATCATGACCCTAGGATGCCTACCTAGAGTGGTGGTTGGCTTCACTCACTACAATTGGTAGGGTTCAGAGATGAATGGAAAGGATGCTTGTGTTTATGGATGGAACTCTCTGTCGTTGAGCACCCACATCCATTCAGGAAAGAGGAATTGGCAAAAGCTATCTCCCTGTCTTCCAGCAGAACTATCCTAAGAGTACTCTTGATCTAGGTCTGGATCCAATTCTCTATACCTGACACCATGAGAAGTGAATCCTATTGCAAAACATTCCCAGCCCTCTTTAAAACAATCTTCCTGGTCTAACAAGCGATGGGCATTTTCTGGTGGGTTGCAAATGATGTCCACACCTCAGCATGGAGTTTAGTGTACGTCAGCCTGTTTTGCACTATGCTGCAATCTGTACCTCAGTAGGTTCTGCATGGCAACAATTTGTGCTGGATACATCACTCCTTCCCAATGTGTTACATCATTTGAATGAATAGTGTGCCCCAGGAAGCAGGGCAGATGAACACTGCTAAATTCCCTCATGTGGTGGCTTCCCATGTGCTATGCTGGCAACTGATCCCATGAACACAAGTTGTGCAGATTGCTCGCTTACTCACTGCAGACTGAAACACAAGGCCCTTTCTGTGAGTGGTTGTGTTCCTGTGACTGTGGTAGTGTCGAGGAAGGATCTAGTCATGCTAACTCATCTTGGGTTGGTACAACAGACTGAAATGTCAAATATTCAGATGGAGACATGGAATGGAAGAAGCAGGTTTGCACATACGTATTTTGCTCCCAGGTTTCAACTGAAAGTCTACAGGTATGCAGCTGGGGGCATGGAAGGCTCTCTCCGTGCAGCCTGAAGTAGCAGAAAAGTCCCTAATCAGGAGAACCTCACATGCCTACAGAGGCCCTAGTCAGACCATGCTCAATAAGGCCAGTACACAATCTCCTTCCCTCTCCTCACATCCACCTGATACCTAAATAGGGCTACCAGGTAAGAAAATCACACAAATCCACTGAGAGATAAAGCATGTGTACCCATTTCTGCTCTTGGTCCTGCTTACTACAGCTTAGCACTTCCCAATAAGCAAATGTTTTATTCCCAGCTTCTCATTGGGCAGTCTCCAGAGGGCTGCAGTTACTCACATGAAGTAGACTACTCTAGCACAGTGCCAATAGTGTTGGTGACCTACCAGATTCCCTGGAAAATTGGCATACCAGGTTAACACTCTTGCCATTGTGCTAGAGTAGTTTCTGCTAACATGTGTCCTACATGTTAGTGGTTATGACCCATAAGTATCCCATTTATTTAGTACCATGCTTTGAATGTATATGATTATGGTAAGTAAGCTCAGATATGATTGTGATCCTCTAGAATATTAGAGCAATCCTGTTCCAGAAATCATGAGCAAGTGGTACACATTGCCACAGAGTATGGAGCATGTTCAGAAGATATGCTAGGAAGAGTGCTCGGAAAGGGATGACGCTGTCTTGTGTGCCATTTCTCTTGGTACAAATCAGATCAGATCAAATTTGATCGAATCAGCACAGACAAAGATATTGATTGCAGTGTACGTTTCAATCCTATGCATGTTTGAACTTAGCAAAGTCCCCCAGCGCCCAGCATTCCTCAGCTAGCATGTCTGGCTGAGAAATGCTGTGAGCTGTAGGATTTTTTTACTGTCAAAACTTGCCTAGGACTGCACCCTTAATTTACCAGCCTGAGAAAGGCTGCAATGTAGTATTGATTTTAAATTGAGATTAAGTGTGCACGGTTGAGTGATAGATTATGGCCTTTCCCTTACCCTGAAATATATACACACAAACACCATTTTTGCAATTCCATATCTTTGTGTATTTGATTATGTTTGAAATGTGTTATTTCTACAAAGCAAACAGAACAAAAATTAAAATAAGAACATCATTAACCAAATTAACCCCTCCTAAGACTCATGGATGTTAACAGGAAGAGAAAAAAACCACATGGAGAATTCTTCACGTTTTATTGGGGTTAAGATTGTCTTCACTTTTAGTGGATCAGATTGCATTAAAAAAAATGTATTATCTATCTAAAGTTAAGCACTTAAAAACCCATTTATTTCAATAAAAGGGTGATAGGTATGGGATTCTATATTCCTCATCAAAATAAATGTGATTTAGACTTAACTGCAATAGGATTGTGCCCTCAAAGATTAAATAAGCTACAACAGTTCAGTTTAAATAAAAAAGTAACAATTGCTTAAACTCTGACATCTCCCTTTGCTGAAAAAGGCACTATTGAAAAACCACCCCTCTGTTCCCTTCATTATCCAATGATCCTGTATTGCTTCTATCTATTTGATCACAATAGAATAGTTGCAGCCTACAGATAGAGTCAACCAGTTTGTACCAGAGGAATCAGATATTTGGCTCTGGCCACAAAATGATTTCACCTCCCAATAAATCACCTATTTCTACACAACTAAGCTATTAACAAGCTGAAGCCATATGAGACAAAGAAATTACTCAGATAAATTAATGGGTGCTGTAGATTAATTAAACCTCTTCCGATACGTCTCCCTTAACCAAGGTGGTTTTGTGCAGAAGAAGGATTCTTTCTCATTACTCTTCATGACCTGCAATGGTTGCTAATTTATAATCTTCTTATGTTTCCCGGCAGGGTGATATCCAGCAGCTGTTGATTGTTGGAGATCCCAGAGCAGCAAATGACTACTGTGAGCATTATAGCCCAGACTGTGATTCCCCTGTGCCCAATACACCTCAAGCTCAAGAACCGGAAATTGATGAGGTGAGTAATGAGCCACATTTTATTAGATCGATTGTGTGTTAACACGTATGCTGAATTCATGCTATTGTAGGAACATTTATTTAAACATTTGTTTGCAGCTAACAGGAATTCCTTCCTTACTAATACATGTACTTAACTCTTTAAAATGTGCTGAACATTGCTTTCTATAAATTGTTTTATACAGAAATGTTACATATGGCAGAATGCAGACAAAGGTATGATTCTATATTTGTGTATCATCATGTATTTCTACGTGTTTTAGTCCAGGGTTGATATGAGGTCCATTTTCTCAAAACAGAGCATTCTCCATTTATTTGTTACTTACTTATTAAAAGCTTCTCTAAACTGTCCACCACTAGCATCTCGGGATGGCTTACAATAAAAAATGAATAAGATAAACAAGCAGCATAGCATCCAACAATGAAGATAATAAAACACCTGTTAAAATCAACTGAACATTAAAATAAAGGGGAAATGAAAAGGTTTTCCCCTGATGCTAAAGAGAATATAGTATCAGAGCAAGGCGAACCTCTCTGGGGAGCATATACCACAGTCGGGGCACCACTGGAGAGAAGGCCCTCTGCTGGGTAGCCATCCTCCAAATCTCCTTCAAGGAGGGCTCCTGGAGCAGGACCTTCACCTCAGATTTCAAAGGGTGGGAGGGCACATAGGGAAGAAGGCATAGCCCAGTCCTAAGACATTTAGGGCTTTATAGGTCAACACCAGCATCTTAAATTGGGCCTGGACTTCAACTGGCAGCCAGTGTAAATGATAGAGGATGTGAATACCTGCTGGTCCCTGTCAACATCCTGGCAGCTCTATTCTGAACCAGTTGAGGTATCTGGACCATCTTTAAGGGCAGCCCCATGTAGAGCGCATTGCAGTAATCCAACTGGGAAGTTGCCAGAGCATGGGTCACTGTTGCCAGGCAGTGCTCATCGAGGTAAGAACGCAATTGGTAGATCAGCCAAAGCTGAAGGAAAGTGCTCCTCGCCACTGCTGTCACCTGAGACTCCAGCCAGGGACAGCTCTGGGTCGAGGAGCACTCCCAAACTTTGAACCCTAACCTTTAGGGGGAGTGCAGCCCTGTCCAGGGCAGGACTAAAATCACTTACCTGGAAGGCTGAACTGCCCACCAACAGGACCTCAGTCTTGTCTGGATTGAGTCTCAGTTTATTGGTCCTCATCCAGCCCATTACCCCGGCCAGGCACCAATTAAAGTCAGTCACTGCCTCACCTGGACTAGCTGTAAAAGAAAGGTAGAGCTGGGTGTCATCAGCGTACTGATGATTCCACAGCCCAAACCCTAGGTGGAAAAGGAGAAGGTCGGAATCTGGCATGGAAATGTCAAGGTTAATGAGAGAGTTGAGGATGAAAAGGGAGTGGAGAAGAACTATGTAAGTCACATACACCATGGTGTTGTTATGTCCATGAACTTGAATGGAGTGTAGCTGCTGGTACATAACTGATGAGAGTTTATGGATTGAGTGTTTATTTATTTAATTATTTTAGCAGTTAGCCAGTAGCCAAGAAAAGTAGGACCTCAAACACACACACACACACACACACACACACACACACACACACACAGAGGAATGCTCCAGTGTGGAGTGTTCCTATTCAGGATTTGAGCCAGACAGCTATGTTGTCATTCAGAATTCTTACTTTCAAACATTCCCCCTCTGATTTTTCATCCCTCCCACCCAGCACTTAGTGGCCACAGATCATGTTCAGTCCTCATTAGGCTGCTGTAGGTTTTTCCTGGTTTTGTGTCAGATTTTCTGCAAACTTTGGGAGTCTCTCTCTGATGGTGCTTCCCTTTGTTTCTCAGTTCTCTCATTTTGGCCATAATTCTGGTTTGCAGTTAGAGGGAGTGATTGTCCACTCTGATCGGAAACAGCTTTGTGTGGCTATCCAAGGATTCCTTTTCGCAAGGCACGGCTGACTGTCCCTCTTCACCATGATAATACATAGCTGGACGTATGCACTGGTAATATGTGTATGAAAAAGAAATCTGTGGAAAGATCTGCTCCCTAGAAGAATGCAAGGAAGCTCCCCATTCCCTGCATTAAGGCCATGAGCTCTGCATTCAATGAAAAACAGATCTCAGGCAAAGCCTGCGAGGGAAGAAGCTCTTTATTGGAGATGAAAGATAAATGGAAGAAATCTTATACTGAATACTCCACTTCCTGGTTTATTATAATCAACAGTGCCATAAAGGAACATAGGAAGACTTATATTAAGTCAGAATGTCAGTTCACCAAGCTCAGTATTTTCCTATACTAATGCTTAACAGTTTTCCAGGGTTTCAGACAAGGTCCTTCCCAGTCCTGCCTGGATCTGATGGAGATTAAAACTAGGACCTTCTATATGCAAAGTGTATCATCTACCACTGAGCTTTGATCTTCCTTATATGAATCTTTGCAGGGTTCAACTGAGAGGATTTACTGAGGATCTTCTCTCTACCCCACAATCTATAATTAAGTCCATACTTTGTGCTACATACAAAATGGGTTTCATGGCCCACTTTGGAACACATTCATTAAGTTTTGGGATCTCTTGAGGCTTATGAATCTCACCACTTGGTAGACTGATGAGTACGTTACAACTGAAGTATGAAAAATAAAAGCACAGTTATTTGCCTTTTGTTTTATTTGTGTATTTAACGTTATATCCTGGCTTTCCATTCAAAGTAATGCCCAAGTTTCTAACAATAAAAAAACATTTCTAATTTAAGCATTAATTCTTATTAAATGTAAACACATTTCAATTAAGCATAAAATAAAAGCATACCAGTAAAAAGGAATAAGCAAGACCCACCTCGTTAAAACGTGTGTTTCTGTACATCTGTGTACTGTATGCACCACATTTCTGAATTGCCATGCTCTTCAGGTTTTGAGTGAGATTAATTTAAAAGAGTGATTGATTTGACAGTTCTTCCTAATGGCATTTCATCAATTCTTCCAATGGCAGGCTTGAGGTTTATTTGTTCCATTAAGAGGCTAAAAATTTGATGTGGTTGTATGTATGTTTCAAATATAATTGCTGGTTTGGGAAACAATTCAGCAGTGGAAATATCATGTTCAACTAATCAGTTAGATCTAATTTGCAGAATTTTAAACTTGGCCTAACCTAGAATTTAGTTCAAGTCCCTGTTTCCTTTGGACTTACTAGGTTGCACCAGAGAAGTTTGTCGTTCAATTCTCTCCTTTCAGTAATATCATTGTTATAAGAAAGATGATGGAGACCAAGCCCCTGAAGGTTCTAGGGCTTGAATGGGAGCTTCACTGCTTGAGATGGGGACCTAGCATGGTGGTGAGCTATTCAGCACCCTGTGTTCAGGCTTCAGTATGGGCAGAATACAATGAACAACTGTTTGTGATCAGCCACTCTATGAAGCCATGGCTGATCAACTGTTTGTGATCAGCCACTCTATGAAGCCATGGCTGATCAACTGCTTGTGATCAGCCACTCTATGAAGCCTTTGTCAATAGAGTACAAATTTATTTATTCATTTATTTGACTTATATGTTGCCCGATTAGCCAGGGACTCTCTGGATGGCTTACATACTACTAGAGTACACTCTAGGTTCTGGCTTTTCTAGGATTCAGTTCTAGTCTTTTTTATTCAGGGAAAGGAATAGGAGCCCAAATTAAAGTAGTTTACATGTGAGAAGGGCTACCAGTAAGAAGGAGGAGGTGGAGTTAGAGGAGGAGGAAGATATGGAGGAGAAGACGCCTTTTGAACAACTGTAAGAGTTGAGCCTCTCTCTCCCTTGGAAAGGTTTGAAAAATCTCAGCACTGGCTTTTGTAAATATCCCCTCTGCACTGTAAACTCAAAAGCACTGAACTGTGTCCAGACAAATCACATTAGCTTAGCCACATCTCAGAAGTCAGAGACGGAAAAAGACCTATTTAGTCATCTACCCCCTGGCCTTCTCAAAGCTGGATTGTTCCCTGTCGTATATATTCTAGTGAACAGTCCAGTCTGGTTCGAAAAGGCCTCCTAGCAAAGGCCCTTCAGTTCTCTGCTTGGAACAGTATCCCATAGCCTCATAAATCTCGCAGCCTGACTGGAGATGGAGAAATTGCTCCCAAATGGGAGTTCTGCTTCATTTATTTTGGCCCTGCCCCAATTGCAAGGATTATGAGAAAGAAATAAAAGAGATGCCTTAAACAAAATGCTTCTTTTGAAGGGAAGACCCAAATGAGGCCGAGCCATGCTCTCTTGAGGGATTTCATGCACCATTTTTTACAATACTGATTTCGCCTTCCTGTCCTCCAAAGACTCGCTGACTTGCTGGAGCTTTGCTTCTTTAGAGACCAATATTATATGAGGCACCATTTTCATATCTGTGCTTCTAGGGCTGATCCATGTTATCTGAAGACATGGCAAAACTTTCTAGTTAGGAAAGCATTTTAGCATATTTCCTGGGGGCAATTAGAGTAATGAAAATCATAAATATTCCACTAACCACAGTTTTTTGTACATTCCTTGGAATTCACCTCTTAGATGCAGGCTTATCTCAAATTACTTAACTTAAGGGATTGTTGCTTCTGAGTACAGTATTGAAGCCCACTGCTGGAAGGGCCCTGTCTTTCAGAAACTATCTGGAATTCTTTGGCAAAGACTTGTGACAAGAAAGGATGATGAAACCCATTAGTTCTGATTTGATTTTAGTTTGGGTATACCAAAGTCTGTCTGGTGCATCAGCTTTTAGGACCTAGAATACAAAAGGACTTAACACATTAATGTGCATCAAGGACAGACGTGTCTGCACAGCCTGGCTACAGCTTGTTGCCATGGGAGGGGAAAAGAATGGGCAGTACATTTAGATTGTCAGAACTGTAAATATATTGCTAAATTCGGAATATTTCCAGAAATCAGCAGTGTCTGATATCTGCATCTTTGGGGAGGATATGGATAATTGCACTGGGAAACACAAGAAATTAGTGCTAAGTCTAGAAACTACCTATTGCCTGGTTGTGGTTTAATTAG